ATCACTGTGTTTGTTAAGACATGAGTAATTACTGTGAATAAATTTTAGTCCTCTGTGTTTTCCCTTTAACTTCCCATTTGAATTCCTAGCACTGTCAATTCTTAAATGTGCAAATCTGTTTCCTCTTTTTGTTATTTCCAGAAGTACTTGTGGAAATAGGATTTTAATTTGGACTGAAGAGCTCTGGGACTTTTTTTTGAACCTCTCCTCATTCCTTACTAACACAAAAGAAAATGTTTTGTACGGCTTTGCATGACATGTGACATTGTTTTGGTAAGGCATGGTACAATTAATCACACCTGAACAATGTGATTGTTTCCCTTGAGTAAGATGCCTGATTTAAGTTTCTCTTCCAACTACTTGATAAAACTCAGAAACTTTGAACAAACTGATAAATTGCAGTTTCAATAATGCTCTTAATTCAGTTCACTGATGAAAAGTGGGAGAGATTTAAATAAAACACAGCAGTCAAGTTCACAGTAATTAACATACAGTCAATCCATCCAGGAGTCACAACCTTTGATAAAACAAGAGATGTCAACTGCTACTTTCAAGAAACCTGGCAATAATTTGGTACTACAAGAAAAATTTCTAAACTTCATGAAGCACTCACGAAAAAGTTCCTTGCTTCAAGAGTCACAATAAAAGAAATCATTTGTATTTTTAGATTGCTGGGAGAAGAAATTCATCAAGTGATCTGCAAGTGGATATTTTATCTGAATTGACAAATTTTGAAATCTCTCAAGTGAACTGCCATCTCACCAGTCTCTTTCATGATAAAGATGCCACACTTCCCTTTAGAAACTTGTATATTCATTTTCAAGGCAATGGTTTGCCCCAGTTACTCAACACATTGATAGCAGAGATACATATAAGCTGGTGGTATCCTTCCACTTTCGCCTAAGTTGTTTTTCTTTCATTCATTGGGGATGAGGTGTTTAAGGTCAGATTTCAGAACAGCTTTTAGTGGCAAATTTGATCACTGAGTAATTAAGGCTTCATTCTCTCAATTTTCAGTCTTGTGTAACATTGAAAGTGACCCTAAAAGAAACCAATATTTATGTAATGCCAAGGGTCACAAGTTCAAATCTCATTGAAGCCCTAAATTTGCAAGCTTGTCTTCACTGATAACTGCTCTCACTGGCCACTATATAAACTGTGCTGCCATTTTATATTGCATCAAAGGTTCTGACTTGAGGACGATTGACTGTATAAATTAATAACCTGGACATGCTCTTAACCAAAGTGAAACCATGCATATAGATTAGAGGAAGGGCTTAAGAAAATTGTAAAAGGCTCTGTAAAAGTGGGAGCGGTAATATTTGACCCATTTTTTGACTATGTTTTCCCCTAGTGTTTGGACAAAATGAAAGTAAAGTTAAGAGAGGGCCAGAGAAAGGAGAAGGAAGGATTAATCTTTCTTTTAAAATGTAATTAAATGACAATCTCTCTTTGTATTTATTTAAAAGTATATTGGCTGAGAAACAACCCTAAATTCAGAATTGCTCAGTGAAAAAATTATCAGCTGTTCAAACAAAGAGTTTCAGACTTTTGTTCAGATAAAAATAATTAAAGGACTTGGCAGTCAGCAGAATTCTTTCTTCTGTTTACTGTTTGCTGTTTACTTTGATCAAGAAACCTCCCAGGACTTTACCATGGATTGAGAAACTATAGAGAAATAATATGCAGTTTTCTCCTTTTCAGGCAGTAACTGGTAACATTTATCGCCTGTAGAACTTCTTATTACTGTTTAAAATTGATTGGAATTCTTAAAAATTCAACTTGTAAAGGATTGCTTTACCGGTTTGAAAATGTATTTTTCCTATCATGCTTAAAATAAGGGAGAACACTGATATGAGCTTTGGATTGGCCAAGAGTTCTTCATGAAAGGGGAGACAAACTTGGTTATACTCTGAGTACTTTTGGTGATGCCTCATGGTTCTTTTGTCCTCACAAATGCTCATAACACTTCTCAAGTTGTAAAGCCATGCATTTAATCAAAGTAATTCTTGCTCCAGAGTGCACAAAAAAGATTTTAACAGGGCAACACATTGATTTATCTAGGAGAGGATGCCCCTGCCCCCCTTAAAAAACTTGTGACTTTCAAGTGAGTACCCCCTTCTCAACCAACCCCTGAACTGTTGTTAAACACTCTGATTCCTAATGAAAATCCTGAGGAAAGTATAGCCCAAGATTGACAAAAATGGATGGTACACTCAATGCTCTATGTCCCAGGGTACCCTTGAATCAAAAGGATGAAGTCCAACCTTATATGCATGGTACTTAAGATCAACTGCATGTCTGAGCTGAGTTAAACACTGAACTTGGCATGTGCATGAGTTTTGTTTACCTGGTTCTCCCAACAGTTGGATTGCAGAGTAAAACAATCACTGCCTAAACATAACTGAACATCCCAATCACTAGACATCTAATCCACTTGCATGATCTTCAAGTGGCCTGTGGCATCTACAGGGTATCCTGTAAATTAAATGCCCATTTTTCAATCTTAAGTTTCATATCAACACAGGCATTAACAACTACTACACTCATGGAACAGTATGTCAAAATCATATGGATGTGAGAGTGAAATTATGTGTATTGGTGTAACAGGTAACAGCCTTATAATAAGCATAAGTTTTTTTTCCATTAATTTTTATCAATGATTGTCATTTCACCTTTGTTCAAAGTAAAGACAAACTTTAATATAAAGGAAAAGGACCTTGTCTGTCTAATTAGTTGCGTATCACTGCATTTTGAGAAATGAGCAGGTAACCAATCAAAATGAGTGAAATTAAAAACCGACACACATAGAGCTAATGAGTGAAATATTGAGGCAGTTTTTTTTTCAGCCAGTAAAGAAATGGCTTTCACAAAACCTCCTCTGTGGTCACAAATATGAGTTGATATTTGCTGCGTTACAAAAATCATTGAATAGGGCTGCCATTAATCTATTTGACAATTTTTCTTCCATTTGATCATAAATGATACTTGGAACCGACAAACAACTGCACTCGAAGGTTTACCTGCCACAATTTGTTTGATGCAAACTGGCATACTCTGGTGAAACGGTATGGCTGTTTTTTCCATCAGGCTTTTCCGAAAGCCAGTTGGCAACATGGCCAGTAAATCCTTCCCAGAAACCAGTGTAGAAATTGCTTCTTTTAGTTCCAGTTTTAATGTGCAAATATATTAAATTCTATACTTCCTTGAGAGCAGAATCAAAACTAATAACTTTATGATCAGAGTTCGTAATCTTTTTCTTTCTTCAGCCAAAGCAAAATGTCAGAATGATGCTCAAATGACACATTTAGCTTGTGATTGACAGCTGGAGCTTGACTGCTCCAATCAGGAACTCTGTTTGTGGGCAAAATAACAATGACTTCAAGCAGGTGTAATCTTCACTTCCCCACCCCTGCCCTTCTCCTTACTTTTGACTGACAACCACCACACCCCCACCCCCCTCTTGGAAGGTGATGCCCACAGCGTCACAATCCATGGCTACACAGTACAAAATCTCACTCTTTCTCAACAAATCAACTTGAAAGCTCTGTGTCTGTCAATAGTCAATCAGTCTGTGTGTTAGTCAATCAAAAGGTCTTGTGTTTTTTAATATTGATCGAGGGGAGATGAGATAACAAGTTATTTTGGTGTAAAACTATAGTTTATTTAGGATTTTAACTATTGACTTCACCGGAAAACAGAACTAGTGTCTAAACTTTAAGCATGAACTGGGTTTTAAGCAAATAGCCATAAAAGCTTGTCTGCCTTACAAGTGTGGGATAATCTTGGTAGGTTCATGTACATGTACAATCTAATTAAATCAACGTAGCCTAAGGGCGTATCTGAGAAATCCTAGAAAACTTTGGGTATTGAACTGATCGACAGAGTAAAATGAGCCAACAAATCTTACCAGTTTAAGTGCAAAGAAATCTTTCTGATCGAGGTCATCGTTGATGTAGGGATGTGACGAGTATTTCACGACTCAAGCCTGTAAGCAAGGTCAACCAAGTTAAGTAATGCTAAACACAAAGAAGTTAAATGATTTGGGCGCTTGAAGAACAAACCTTTGCAAAATTATAACTTCGATTGGGTCGAGTTATGGCCGCTACACTTAACAGAAAACACCCACAAAGAGAGATGGGAAGTATAAGTCTTGGACTACAAAGACGGAGAGATCCTGGGGAATAGGAATGTTGTTGAGACCCAGGTTATTCATATTTACAGCGAAAAAAAAATCCCGTCATTGAGTATCATGAGTATAAGTGTGACCATATCCACTTTTTTTCCCTTTCTTTTTGTATGTTTTCTTTTTTCTTTAGTTCGGAGTGGCGGCGCAGAGCAAGTGCATCGGAGAAATCTCTTACGTTCGCGTTCGTCAAATGCAAGTCCCCTGCAGCCATTAATTTTTACGAAAAACCCCCTAAAAATCATCTGGATCGTATTGTTCTACGCAGCTGTTGTTTGTTCTCATCAAACAGCAAGCTCTCTCTCCTCCACCAAGGACCAACATCCCTTATCACCAACAACCCTTATTTCTCTGCACCAAATCTAAACGTCTAAACAGGACGTCTTTTGGAGCGTGAAGCTGGCATTAGACGAGCGAGGTAAAATGAATTTAGGGTTCCCTTCTCTCTCTTTCCCGCCTCAATTCCTTTTCCTTTCTTCTGCGAGTTCCATTCCCTTTGTCTCATTCCCTCTTTTTCATTGCCCCATTCCTCCGCTCAAAACTAATACGAAGAAAAGACCAGCAGGTCGACAAAACAGAATGATAGCGGTGATCAGTCAGCTTCTGTCGGCAAAATGAATTCATTGTAATTTTTTTGCGGTAGGGTGCTCCAAGTACATTAAGGAGTGATTACTACAAATCAAACGTTATCAGAAAGCAAGCAAGTGCTGAGAACAGACAAACTCTTCAGCAGCTAGATAGGAGAAATTAGACCAACTGGTCTAATCACAAAGGTTTCATTTGCTCCCACTCCAAGTTTACTCAAAGACACGGCACTGATGAAATGTCTTCATTTTATTATCACAGCTGTTCGACGGTACAAAAACAAAAGACTTTCACGGCTACTTTTACAGTTATAACTCTGAAAACAATGCACTTTCAAAATATAACTTATACGACAGATACTTCAAATGTCTCACGAACATTTTCCGATAAACGTTGAAAAGAGATCAAACGCGCAAGATCTAAAATTATTTTTTGATAACATTTAGATCTTTCCTTTCTCAACTTTTAGAGGGAATAGAAACATCATGGACACCATCTTTATCGACTATTCTGACGAAAAAATCTGGGAGACGAACCAAGAAACGCCTTTGTACCTAAGGAAGACAAACACAAAGATAAATTAACCAATGCCTACACCTGTAAACACGGCCATGTTAACTAGCCGTTAATCAACTCGCCGACGTCACTTCGCCGACAACTTAACCAATGCCTACAAGTGTTAAAACCGCCGACATGTCAACTCGCCGTCAACCAACCCTCCGACACGCCAACACGCCGACGTCACCTCGCCGACAACTTAACCAATGCCTACACCTGTTAACACCACCGACAAGTCAACTTGCCGTCAACCAACTCGCCGACACGCCAACACGCCGACGTCACCTCGCCGACAACTTCGGTTTGCATTTGCAGTTTGTTCAAATTAATCATTTTAATTAAAACTCTGACTTTAATTAATTCTTGACATTGGCGAAGTAACCGAAGATGTCAACAAAGTTACCCAAGATGTTGGCGAGTTGTTTGTCGGCGAATTGACATGTCGGTGAAGTGACCAAATACCCTGATGGCCATAGCGTAACGAAGAAGGGATCCTTGGCTTATAAAAAAAAGGAGCACACATGGACCGATAAAAATGCCCTCTTAGAAAAATGGAACATTAGACTAGTACAAAAAGTATGGTCGCCAAAAAAACTACATTGAACAACACGAAGCTAAGTGCTTAGTAAAAATTAAAAAAGAAAATATGTAATTAAAGAAAATCTTCAACATTCGCGTTAATTTCAAGAAAAGTTGCTTTCTTTTGATGAGGTTATCACTTCTCGTACTGTTACCTCTTCAATGCATTTCTTAAGGAGCTCCGTAGCCTCTTCACGGCTTAAACCTAGTTAAGAAAAAAAATGACATTCAAACTTCAACTATCTAAAAAATAAGTGTTAGCTATCACTAACTTAAGCTACAAACAAAATATCAAGGTGCGGTGACAAAGACACATAACTAGACGCTTACTCACTCCGTGTTTATAAAATCGTTTAGGATCAATGTCAGTATCTGAGCATTTACGCACCTACCCCTCCCCTAACCCCACAACAGTCAGCTGATAACAAGTTAGGGTTAACGTTGGGTTTGGGGAGGGGTAGGTGCGCAGTTGTTCAGATACTGACAGTGATCCATCATTTACGTATTCTGAACTCCTTGTATTGTTGGAAATATTTGGATTTTGGATTTCCATGATGACTTATCTGCAGGTGGCTTTTCATCGTTTGTTTATTTCATTCCTTGTGCACAATTCCTTGTTTATTTTGTGTGCGTGTTATCGAGCATTGAGTAATTTCATTCCGTACAATCAAGTAAACCATTAATGTACCTGGTTTGTAATAGCGATCCAAAATACTCAGGGAGAAGAATGATCCATAACCATGTGCAGCAAATGGGATCTGATAAAAAAGGAAGAAGAAAAGGAAAATATTAAGCACCTGCACATATCAAAATAACTTGACAACTGCCTTAAAGTCTTTCATTTTCCCTATTTTCTATACCCTAACATCAGTATGCATATTCTCCATATTGCGCTTGAAACATTTCCTGCTAACAAGGAGAATTTGTTTAACAGTCAAAAGCTTCTTGAGTTGGTGATCATTTCCTTTATTCCTTAATGTTTCATTTAACCATTTAACTCCTGGATCAAACTTGGAATTCTCTTTATTGTCAAACATACAATTCTTACAATGATAGTTCCCAGAATTTAGTATTAGATCAACTAATTATCCCCAAACTGATATTTTTCTTTATTCTCAACACTTATCTGGTTGATATTGTATTGATATTGTAAGGAGAAATTCTGTCTTGGTTAGCCATGGGAGTTAAAGGGTTAAGGGTGATATTGTAAGGGTGAAACTTACTATTACAGTTAAGAGGGTCAAGACAACTTGTTTGCTGAAATATTCCAGGAAGTTTTTATGTTAAGGTTGAAACATCTGCATTATTTTGCCAACTGCCTCGTGACTTTCCTGAAACCTTTAACTCCCAGAAGTAATGGTTCAGTATCAGTATCTGGGCACCTACTCCCCTAGTCCAAAATTAACCCTAACTTGTTATCAATTGACTGTTGTTGAGTTAGGGGAGGGGTAGGCAGGCAGTTGCCCAGATACTGATATTGATCCAAGTAATCAACATGTAACTTATTCCTATAATACCCTTACATTATCCGGCGAAGAAGTTGCTATTTTCATCTACTAACAAATTCTTGTAACTAATTACAAAAAAATGTGTAGCAGCTAGAGGGGAGAATTAACAATTAGATCTTGGGAGATAACAAATTAGGCTTACCCTTTGTCTACCTGACTAAAAGGAAATGGCAGAGACAGCATTGCTGGCTGGATCATACATCTAATGTGTTCAATATTCTTGGAAATTGTGATATCTCAAATAGAAGGAGGGAATATTCCTATTCAAACACAGCACCTATCACACGCTCCAATAAAAAGAGACTAGACAAACCTTTTGAAGTGAAGCCAGCCAGTCCATGTAATAAAGTTCTGGACCTTCTGTGTCATCATAACCAGCTAGCAGCAAATTGACTTGGTAAGCAGACTAGTAAACAGAGAAATAAACATAAATCATTATTAAATCATTATTAAATCATTAACAATCTAATTGACACATAATGCACTTCCTAAAGGGGCTTTCTTTTCTCTATATAGGTTTGGTTTCAACTTTGCTTGTTCAAAATGTGGTGATAATTGGCTTAGAAAGAAAAGCTTGGACTGAAAACTCTTTCTTTCATTTCAGTCAAACTTTTCATTTGGTACCATTACACTTTTTGTAACAAAAGAGGGCATGGCCTTTAACTTATACTTACAGAACTTCGTAGAGCATCTGCCAAGTTTCGCCTTGTGAAGTTGGCTGCTGCATGAGGAGTAAGTTCGTATCCTAACAATTTGAAGGAAAAAAGTATTCATAGCTGCTTTTCCACAAGAAGAAACCACAACATTTTACTCATTTATTACTGTTACTTCTGTTAATGCAAAATCTTTGAAGATTCTATTCAAGAGTTCTCTTTGTGATCTTGGAATGATAGTTGACGTCATTACAACAACTATGATGAGATGCCATTTTAATTACAATCTTTGGCTGAATTTCAATGATATATTTTGCCCATTACCACAGTTGTAACATGGAATGCAGGTGTCTTATTAAGGAGATCAAGTTAGCGCTGCAAGCTTGTGACCCTTCACTGTGATCATTTTTAATTCAGGGTTTAAGTGCATAGAGAAAGG